GGATAAATGAGAAATTTGAGGCATCTGACTATACTTTCTAAATTGGTATGAAAGTAGTTTGTATTATGGACAAGCTGAATCTTATTCTGAACACAGATGTCCTTAAAAAGACATTATATCCAGAAAACATTCAAAGCAGCTAATATGTTTGTCTCTGACTCTAAGCAGGCTTTTATGCACTCCAGTCAACACTTTTACTGGATTGGACTCACCTACAATGAAGAACGTGCTGCCTGGTTGTGGGAGGATGGCTCTCCTTTTTCGCGGGATTTGTAAGTTTCCAATAGTCAGGTCCTTTTTTGACCTTTGCAAATTTATCCCTAAATTTGACTATGGAGGTAGCATCTTGGAGCACTGAAACTAAAATAACCTGCCTAGAGCATGAGAAAACAGAAAAAAGAGAAGGTGCAACAGAGAACTATTTTTGCTCCACCTATAATATCTAAGCATATGCTCAAGGACATGAAAATTAGTGTGTTTGTGATCATAAAAGAACTTTTGACATGAGCTTTAGTTGGCCTTAATAAAACCCTTGGACATACATGTGCATGTACAGACAGGTGCTCACGCGCACAGGGGCAGTCCAGAGAAAATGGTATGTCCGTAATATTTTATTCTGGTGGTGCCCAATGCTCTCAGCATCCTCTGTTAAATATTCTGGACTTATTTTCTGTATTTTATAACATTTGAATCTCATTTTCTTTTCTTTTGTTTTGAGACAGAGTCTCAGGCTGTCACCTGGGGTAGAGTGCCAGGGTGTCATAGCTCACAGCAACCTCCCACTTGGGCTCAAGCAATCCTCTTGCCTCAGTTTTTCTATTTTTTTAGTAGAGACAGGGTCTCACTTTTGCTTAGTCTGGTCTTGAACTCATGAGCTCAAGCAATCCACCTTCCTCAGCCGCCTAGAGTCCTAGCATTACAAGCATGAGCCACTGCACCTGGCCTGAATCCCATTTTCACTCATAAATGTGAGATTTTCAGCATCACACAGTATCAGAGTTTATGCTCTGGTTGTTTTCCTAGATGAGATCAGACAATACATGTTAAATAAAATGGAAGTAAAGCATTGCACACATCAAAACCATTAATGACAATGGCAAAACTAAAAAAGTCCCTGGCCCTAGTGTTACTGATTAGTAAGGGAGTAACTGAGTGTGTTGGAATATTTTATTCTTGGAAAGATGAAAATTATCATTATAGGAAGAACAACAAAATTCAACATGTTAATATCTCATTTAAGTGCTTTTAAAAGTTCTATACTTTCAGGCAGCGCCTGTGGCTCAGTGAGTAGGGCGCTGGCCCCATATACCAAGAGTGGTGGGTTCAAACCAGGCCCCAGCCAAACTGCAACAAAAAATAGCCAGGCATTGTGGCAGGTGCCTGTAGTCCCAGCTACTCAGAGGCT